CAAGCAATAATGACAATAGATAATATCTAAATAATGAGTACATCCTTAAATAAACAAGCTATTATAACTGATCTTCAAACCTTCTTGAGCGTAAGAACTGCCTTCACCACTGCCACCACTGCCACCACTTCCGCCACTTCCGCCACTACCCCCACTACCTCCGCTTCCTCCTCCTGTGCAGAACTTGCAAGCTTTTTGGCAATTCTTTCTCATATAGTTTTCGTGACTTTTACAATAGTTATTCTTTGACCAGTATTCACAATGTTGGTGATTGTCTACGCATATCGCTGTTGATCCCACAACACAAATAACAACAATTTTCAGGGATATGTAGCTAACTAGCATAGCTTAAGGTCATTTTAAAAGTAACTGTGTAATTACATCTTATTTGATTTTTTTTTCATTTTTTTTCTCTTTTTTCAGTTACGGGATAAGGACGTCTTTAGATTGTTTTATGATTTTCTAATCAGCTCACACGTATATTGAGAGCCACCACATTTTTTTGCCCGCCCCATTGTTTTTTTTCATGCACACACAGCCTGCACTTTTGCCGTTCAGTGGGTGCCTAATTTATTTTTGAAACCAATCACTCTCTTACTAAACATGCTAAATTGGTAGGGTTGATAAAAAAATAAGAATGTCGCGTACCTTCTAGGGTCTTGGGCTGACACTACACAGGGCTAGCAACACGTACCTTTTAGGATCTCAAATCGCCACCCGAGTTAATTTCTGCGCATGCGTACCTTTTATTTTCATTTCAAAACCGATCGCCGGGCACCCGTAGAACAGGGAACACGTCCATGGGTCTAAGGGGTTCCTCAAGCGAAGGTTATATTATACCTTCATTCATATTCTTAGTATTGATAGTAGGTTTGATATTGATCAGGGAGGACCTCTAAAGCAGCTACCTTTTTCGGTATCCCGGTACGCTTACCCGGTGGCTCAGGCGTTGACGGCGGTGGTGGTGGTGGTGGTGCATTCGTGGACGGTGGATTGCCGCCGCAAGGCTCCCCTTTGTTTCTGCAATAGCTATTCTTATCGAAGCAGCCCTGAGCGACATTTCTCCCAAAGCTACCCATCATATTGCCAGCAGCTCTGTAGCGACCCACGATATAGTAGCACTTTCCATATCGTCCGTCTTTTGAGGCAACACCAATACCAAGCTCAGTACTTCCTTTCCAGACAATCTGGGTAAAGTGGCCAGTACCACTTATATATCTTGGGTTTCTAAAGTCGTATTTACAAACTTCTTTGTACCTGCGAACAAAGCAAGTTTTAAACTTTGATCAGAGTTAGTAGAGGGGAACAAACATCCCCTCTATACTAACTCTGCAAGCAATATTAATTGCAATAGATTTGGCCTTCATGTACATCGCAACTATCACCGATTCCGGAGTTCTTTACGTTTGACAACACTCGAACGTTTTAATACCAAATTGTTTGAAATTTGTTCAATGTTCTAAGTAAAGCCTATAAAGAATATTTTGAAGTTGCAGCTAGGATGTTGCATGATAAAGAAAATTGAGTTGTCTCTAGTCTTGTTTGTGTAGTTTATAAATCTCAATAAAAATGAAACCAAAGAATGTCTTCGTGATTTTTATGCCTGTTTTATATATTGTATGCATATTCATTATTCAAATGTATTTAAAGTAAATTTGACCTAGCTATTTTTGGACCGATCGGTGTATTTTAATGTCTTTTCTGAACTCCAATTAAATCGCAAAATAATCGATAACTGCGACTGCAATTTACAGACGTGTATCAGCGGTTTTAGCGCATGCTCATGCAACTTTCTCTCATGCTTGCTTCCATCTATAAGGCAGCCWTTGCATCCGGGAATTAAATAATTCAAACTCGTTCCCAGGTCCTTTTTTGTTTGGAAACACGCCGGATATACAATTGATTCATAATTGTAATTATTAAAAATTAAATTATTCATAATTGGGTCATGKCCCTCAGTGGTCGGTGACTACGGAAAGGAAACAATGCTATATATCCGCTATTATCCAAGCAAATAAATCTAATTAAATACATATCCAATTTATGCACATAMACTCATGGATTTGTGACTCAGCATATAAATTTATTTGTGAGAATTAAGGTACGTCTGTGATTTTTGCTTGTTCATAAGTATAGTGGAATCAAAATAGAAAACTTACCACATATCAACTGCTGTTGCTCCTGTAAATTGCCTACCGCAAGTCATGGCAAGATTTTCTCCCTGACCAGGACGTTCACTCGAACTCGAGTGAGACAATGACCCTCTACGCGCYAACTTCTCGGCGTACGCCTGCGCAGAGCGACTCATGTCAGAGTTCAGGGTCATCATGGGGGCACTGTGCGCTCGACGAAAGTAGTTGTGACGTGTGAGCGCTTCTTGTTCGTAGGATCCTTTTGAAAAGGRAAATTAGTTAAAATAATTTTAATAGTTAATTAAAATTAAAATTAAGATTAAATTTTGAATTAAAATTCATTCAAAACCACTAAGTTTGCCTTGGATACCATCAGAAAGAGTCTKATAGGATTGCAATTTCAAGTTACTTCAGCAAGTCATAATCTTACAACAGATGGTCTGTGAAAACGCTGATCAGCTCCAAAGGGATGTACGTCTACTAAGTAATATAATAAAATTTCAATGTCTATCACTTGATTGCCAATGCTATTTATTATAGCTTCCATTCCTTCCTCACTCCCAAACATACTCACGCGTTCTTACAATTTCCTTACCATAGGCGATCTTGAACATCCCTGTCATAGAAGAATATACTGAAATATGCAATTAATGTTTTGTGTCAGATGAATTGAGTTGCTATTTCATGAGTGTGAAAAAAATCAATCCGAACTCAATTTAATGAACAGGATTTTGATTCAAAGTTCAACTTTCCGGAAATGATAGAAAACTTTTTCGTTTATTCAATTTATTGTGGTACGACACTTGTAGACCAGAAAAAGTTGCTACATATATGTTTTAGCATGGTAGCCACAGGGGCGGATCCAGGGGAGGTGATTTGGGTGCTAACGCACCCCCCCTTTTTTTTTGACGTATGTTTTAATATATCAGTATAAACGTTGTTTTCTGCTGTTTATACTCCTGTTGTACTTTAATTGAGAAAACGAGTAGCATACACAACATGTATATGCCACTATGCTGCCTAACAATCTATTTGAGTAGTGAAGTCAAAGATACGTTGCAATAAAATTCAATTTTTCTTCCGGTCAAATTGTGCATAATTTTCTTGCTCTAGACAATAATGATCAGTTCTATATATTACGGACAAAAGCACCCCTCCTTATAAAATGCTGGATCCGCCCTTGAGCCATATTCAATTCAGTAATTTAGGATGCAAGTRAMTGATTGGATCACTTCTCCAGTAACGTCAGAGAACAAGACAATCCACTAAACCAGGCGTTTTGGCSCTAAAAACTGTGCTCGATACAACATCTTTGGATCGGTTTTTGATAGTATAGTCCATCRAGACGCAGATGTAATATCCCAAGMGAGTAATTAGAGTATAMAACAAAAAAACATACCTAGTAAGAGAAAWGGTAAAAACCTTCTTGGAAGCTCCATGTTGCTTTTGTTCAAAAGCTCCCTTTTCTATTCGATTTATATACAACCAAACTTATCACAGCTTGTTCAAACAAAGATCATGCTCTGCGATAGTCACACCTTCAATCYGAAAGCTGCATAAATAATCCCTTCCAAGAACCAAGGAAATGACAAATTTGAAGTCCCCAACACTACCTGACATTGTTGAGCAAAACAGCATGTTAGATCWCCAATAAAATCCTGTTGATTGCCAACGCCCTTGTAARTGAGGTGTTGAAATTTCATCAATTCGWTGCTGTTGATGCTCAATTCAACAACATCCATACAACACAGTCAAAGGGCAGAATGTCCAATTCTAAAMTCCGCGCTTGTTTGAGCACATCAAGTTACATTCTTTTAATATGAACGAATACTATGCGTTATTGTAATCAAAGTGCATGAATCAGATTGGTTTTTTTTATCAAAGCTAAACATTGGTTTATTTCGGCCTCACCCATCCTACCCATATACCATTGATACAKTACGCGGTACATGTATAATTTTGATGAACTACTGAATCATTTTTTCCCACAGTCTTGATCCACTTATAGCGCGTTTTCTAATATTTTATTTAATATCTGATTCCGACTTCATGAAATCTTTCTTTAGCTACAATATTGAGGCAATTCTATGTGGGGAACATAGCAAATTAGAAGCTTCTTTTGGCTATTGTTTTGAGTGCTTATGATTGGATAAGAGGTTTTAATACAAAAGAAACTTTGTTTCAAAATAGAGTTTAAAGTTTTATTGATACAATAAAAAGCAGAGGTAACATGATGGCAAAGACTGTCACAGTATAAACTTCCCAAAACCGTTATTATTAGTGTCTGAACGCTAGTCCACAGTATGAAGAACTAAGCCGTAGATTAGCTCAGGCTGTCAACTGCAAAAAGTGTGAAGAAGAGTCACTTCCCAATTCTGCTGTCTCAAATCGGCTGTTCAAATAGTTGCACGACAAKATGACATGTTGTGTTTTCTGTTCTATTCCCTGTTGATCCAGCAATCAACCTGTAAACATAGGATGCTTCTTGCAAAAACTCCATATATTTCTCATACTATTTCRCTTGYCAGTAAAATTRTGGATATACAGAAGATATAGCCAAGGGTCCTCRGCAGAACTGATTAGATTGCTGTGGACCTAAAAAGCAGATTTTAAGCCCTTCAGCTTCTTAAAAAAGGAAAAATTACAATAATAATAAAAATGGAATGAGATTTTCGTTTTTAGAAAATTGCTTTAAGTTTGATCAGCAAAACTTAAGTTTGCTTAGAGGGCTACAGTCAAGRACATAAATGTTGATAGTTTTGTAAAACTTTTTTCTATCGATGTTTTTTTTATAAATTTTGAAATCAAATGCAAAAGTTTCACATATGTGGTAAATAATGCGATAGATATGGTCTCTAAAAAGCCGAGAGAAATGCTAAAAGACGTCACAATAAACCAAATGAAGAAATCCATTGGCATGTAAAAACTAATTATCGTTCAATGGTTCAAGATCCGATCTTCAACAACACCACTAAGTTAAATCTCCCAACTTCATCGGTGTCAGAAAATTAATGTCATTTTYAAAATTTTAGGCGATTCTTTCCAAGGGAGGATCCAGCATTTTATAAGGGGGCTGCTTTTGTCATTATTGTCTAGAGCAAGGAAATTATGCAGCAATTTGACCGGAAGCAAATTGACTTTTATTACAAAATACATGTTGGGTATGCTACTCGTTTTCTCGATTAAAGTTCAACAGGAGCATAAACAACAGAAAACAACGTTTATACTGATATATTAAAAAATACGCCGTCAAAAAAGGGGGGTGCGTTCGCACCCAAAGCACGTCCCCTGGATCCGTCCCTGCTTTCTAAAGTTTTTTGGTTGTGACATAGCAAACGTCTATGACGAAGACGACATCAACTTCATTCTTGTTATCAAAGATCGTCTTTAACACTACGGCAATAATTAATTCACACTGCAATAGAAGTCATTTTCACTCTTACTTTGTGTCCATGAGGGTTGTTGGTCCATACTTTTCGTCAAAACAAAGTACACATATCGTTACTTCCCTTATTTAAGAAATAAAAAATCCACAAACCACAAACCACAATCAGAGCGCGCGTTAGAAATCATCTATATAATATATAGTTATATCTATATTGCATAGACGACATTAGCTTTTTCTTGTTTTCAAATATTGAATGTGAAAKTGATCTTTTTTCCTTATTTTGAGTCTGTTGACCAAGGCAACGGAAATCGCATTTTGTCGAAATTCGTTTTTTCCAAATATCTCAAAAATTTGATGAGATCCAGAAAAGCGGTATACATCATCATTAACTTCAAACTATTGCACAACGTTTTGGAATAGTTGAAAACAAATTCATSTGTTCCATTTCGAGCAATATTGACAAATGTTTTATGGATGTGATTTTTGCCAGAATGGGTTTATTTACTAAATATCACTTAGCGACATTTTGTCTACCAAGTTTGATTTTATCAGTCAAGCAAGAATTGCCTGATATTTAGTTTTTTTGAACACTCTGTCAGCCAGTCGAAACATCTCTAAGTGCCAAGCTTGCGATTTGCAATTTTGTACCTTGTACGAGGGTCTCAATGGGGTGGTACGCATCACGACTCACGGCTAGAAATTTGGCGATTTCACGACTCACGACTATTTTTTTCGAATCACGGTTAATTAGATTACTTTTAGAAATTTTTGAATTACGTTTTTCATTGCTTTTTCTTTTTTCGTATGAATAGACTGCGTGACTTATTCGACGGACATGGATTTTTCNAAAACACTAACTTGACGCTGAAATGGCTGGCGAAGACGCGTGTTTCACACGAATACTTGGCCTGATCTTCCATTTTATTATCCATGTTTGGTACCAAAATAAACCTTAGAAACATGGCTTTCAGACTGGGACTGCTTTAATTTTGGAGGTTTTTACTGGCGCCTGGCGCGCACTGGTAAATAGCGCAGATAGCGGGAAATACGAACGAAAGATAGGCCAATCAAGTCTAGTGTACAAGTATAAACAAAAGATCAAAGTATCAACCGATGATCGTTGTTTAAAATACCTGAGGGAAACGTGTGTTCCAGCAAATAATATTATTTACACTATGAACATTCCAAACGAGCAACTCACAAGCCCCTAATGAACTCAAGGATCAGGGCGTGCTATCCCAGTAGTCGTTTGTGGATGTTTTGAACGTTTCGATTTTAGCCCAGTATTGTATTAAGATAAAGGATCGTTGCACAAGAGTAGAAAATTGGATCTTCAAAAGTTCAAACCTCAAGGGAACTTGCAGAAAGCTTTATTTTGGTGGGAAAACCCGCTGACTCCTCCCGGGCTCAAATGTCCGGAATTTCTGGCCATGTGTGGCCAGGACTCTACGGCCGGCACGGTTATAAAATGCAAGCACTTATTTCCACGTTAGGTTTTTAACGAGCGCTCGGCGATTTAGTCATGACTTTACAACGACTGGGACAACTTTGCTCACACTGATAAAACTACATGGTATGATGGCGGTGGTTCAAAGATATGAGACTACTGAATATTTTTGCTGTTTGTGAAACGGTTGTAGAATGCAAGCACAATTTTTTCCACGTTAGGYTTTACCCGAGCGCTCGGCGATTTCCCACGAGTTTGCATCGACTGGGACAACTTTTCTCCCACACTGATAGAATCAGTGACAAGGAGATAAGACTACTGAACATTTTGCCTATTTGGAGCATGATAAAAAAMCAAACTTTACGAGATGTTGGATTCTGAGCGACAACTTTATACTGAGTTGATATTTTGAGAGACTTAGTTTTATGAGTTTTGAGCGGAAACTTACAAGTGAATCTTCTAGATCAAGAAAATCAAGAGCGAATATTTTTGATAGAKCCTTCTGACGAGAATCAAGAGCGATTACTTTTGAGTGAACCTTCTAAAGAGAATAAAGAGCCAGAGGGAGTAGCGAGCGAATAGTAATAATGAGAGGGGGGGGGTTACTCCCTCCACTACTTGGGTGGGGCTGTGCCGCACGACCCTCAAAACCCTTACCCTATCCCAGACCAATGTTTGTGATTTTACATACCCCCATTATTTTAGCTCTGAAAGCGTGGCCTGGCAGATACGATCACAGGCAAGAGAAAATGAGGTAAGAGAAGGAATCCCTGTTACCCATCATATCAGCCCTTCGTTCTATTTTTAGAAAAAGAGCTATTTTTAGTTTGTTACCAAGCCCGCGCGACCACTACTCGTTTATCGGGATTTGATATCGGCTATTTTTCATCGCCAAAAACTGAATGTCAAATACTGTTCGAGAAAAGCTACGAAATTCGCTTTTAAAAAGGAAACTTCTTGAAGAAGAAAAGGAATCTTCTAGCTTCAAAACAAAGAAAACTTGAAAGTGTCGAAGAAGAATCAGCTTCTGAAGGTAATGTGACATGAAATTAGATCGACAATCTGACCTTTGAATTCTCTGACCTCTCGAGCAGTAATATTTAACCTGGAATAGATAATTTATAAAACGCATAATTTACATTTGTAGATTCAACACGAAAGGAT